CCTCAGGGTGGTGCTCTGAGATCAGGTTCACTGCTTGAACGGTGCTCTGAGATCAGCCTTTTAACGCTCAGGTTCACTGCTTGAATGGTGCTCTGAGATCAGCCTTTTTAAGCTCAGGTTCATTGCTTGAATGGTGCTCTGAGATCAGCCTTTTTAAGCTCAGGTTCACTGCTTGAAGGTGCTCTGGGATCAGCCTTTTTAATGCTCAGATTCACTGCTTGAATGGTGCTCTGAGATCAGCCTTTTTAACGCTCAGGTTCACTGCTTGAACGGTGCTCTGAGATCAGCCTTTTAACGCTCAGGTTCACTGCTTGAATGGTGCTCAGTGTGGAGTACATTGCACTGTATGTGGCCAGAAAAGTGTCAATCAGAGGACACTGGGCAACTTTAAACTGTAGTCTCCGAACTTCACTACGTATTTCACACATAGTACGTACAGAATACCTTGTAAGCCTCCTAAGTGTGTGGCAGCCTCTGCAGTACACATTTAATCTTAAACTGTGAAGCTCCCCTTCTGGGAAATGGCTGCTTACTGAGGTAGGTGCTTCCAGCATTTTGTAAAGTTGTTTGAATTACTTAGGAATGGAATTAAGGAAATCTCAGGTCTCAGTCAGAATTTTCAATAATCTCACTTTTATTCTGTTTTTCTAAGTTTTTGTTGGAGCATCTTCACCTAACATCTGTGGCCTTAACAATAAGCATGTTGCTTTTGGTTACAGCAGAGGCTGCTGGATGATGTTTGATCAAAGTGTAGTATATGTATGTGTGAAATTCTTACACATTGAAAACAAAATACATGACAGATGCCAACTCTTCTTATAATTAGTCTAAAGAATGTTAATTTTTTTGGCTACTTATTGAGTTGGTTCTGGAGGAGGTTCTTGGTAAATACACTACTACTGGGATATATCTCTAACTCTCTATTTTACTTTTTGAGAAAGGGTCTTACTAAGTTGCCCAAGCTGGTCTTGAACTTAGGATACTCCTGCCTCAGTTTCCAAATATCTGAGACTCCATACATGTGGCTCCAGTCTGCACTAGTAGTGGGCATCAGGATTGTACCCTGACTATAGTGCTGTCTAGTGAAGGTCCACATGGACAGTGCTGTCTGTAGTCACTGTTGTTAATGCCATGCCTAGCATTCCCAGCATAACATGCTTTTTGTTGGCCTCATTTTAGATCAAGCCAGTGAAGAAAAAAAACGACTTGAGGAAAAACAAAGAGCAGCCCGCAAAAACAGGTCCAAGTCAGAAGAAGACTGGAAGACAAGGTGTGTACCCTCCTCAGTGTGGCTCAGTGAGAATAACAAAGATGGCAGACACCGTGAACCACAGAGCAAAAGGTCCATAGCCCTGCAGATCCGCTCTAGGCCTCAGAGGGCACTATTTCCAGAATACAGTGTTCTAAAGTGTTAAATCCAAGAGTTGTGTTTGTGACAAGAAAAATGACTTGAAAAGTGAGTTATGTTTTGCACAGTCATTACAGGCAGCATTAGTTAAGCAAATTTATCTTTTCTCCTTATCCAACATTGCTTCAGTATTGAAAAAGGGAAAGTACAATCTAGAGTTAGATTTGGACATGAAAATACACTTGTTCACATCTTTGAGTAGATACAGGATCAGTCATGTGTGCATATATCATGGATCAAATTTAGGTAGTGCCTTTTCTAAACACAGATAGACATGATGGAATTGGGATTTAGAAAAAACATACTATGTTGGGCAGTATCAAATATCTGGCTTTGGACTGGAATAAGAGTTAACTTAGTCTCGTGTTTTGTTAGTGTTCCTTGTAACTGCTGTTCCATGATTCATTTAAGTGTTAAAGCCAGCATGGGCATAATTTTGCAAGCATTCCAGTAGACAATGATAGTCTTTTCATATCTTACAAAGAGATCTAGAAATACTCCTACAGCATCTACCACAATGAGTGTTTTGGATTTTAGGCACATAATAGTTCTTACCAAAGAATGAGTAAAGGCAGATGGCTGCTATGGCTGCTTGAAGGGGCAGGACCTAGGCAACTCCTCACCTTCCATTCAAGTGTACCCATGTCTCTAACTCTGAAATACAGTGTAAAAGCTGTTCCCAAGATGCTGGAATGCTAGTGTGCCTGGCTTGGGCACTTTTTTTTTTTTTTTTTTTTTTTTTTTTGGAGAGACATGGAAATCATTCAGGCAGCTCATTGAGAATTAGGGCAGATTAAAATGAAAGCAGATGTAACCTAGGAATCCAAATCGAGACCCAGTAAAGTCTGGACTGGGTCAGTCTCACTGGGTGTGCGTGGCATATCACGTGAGGGAATCATCTGAGTGCACACATGTCTGCAACTATTGCAAGTTTGGCCAACAGTCTTGACAGTCAGCTCACCTATGAAATGGAGGTCATATGAACCCTACAGGCACTGTACATCCTGCCTGCTTCAGCTGTGTGTTCCCGTGTGCTAATCCCTTGTTCCTGATGGCATCACAGAGTGCCTCCTCATGGATGGTCACAGGTAGGACACATTGCTAACTGCTGTAGATCGTAACTACTTTTGTCTGAAGATATGTGTATACATATTCTCTGAGTAGAAAAACTAGCACTTTAGGGTCTCTGAGGAAATCCATGACACAGAGAGTCAACTATACTGTAAGTGGTTAAATGACAGGGTCCTGTGTGTGGGGTTTGAGCCATTTTGTTCTCTAAGTTTTACCCTTTCTCACTGGACAGGTGGTTCCATCAAGGCCCTAACCCATACAATGGAGCACAGGACTGGATTTACTCTGGCAGCTACTGGGACAGAAACTACTTCAATCTGCCTGATATTTATTAAAGTGCGGAGAAGCAAGGTGTTTGGCTTATCTGCATAAGTCTTAAGCTTAAGTTTCTAAAAATTTCCCCTGGTTTCTACTCCTCTATAATTTGCATTTCCCCCAACAAGGTAGGGCGTGTGGTGAAGGTCATAGGGAATATGAGGCATTTCGCTTTGCACCTGCTTACTTGGCATACTGTTTATGCAAAGAAAGCAGCTGTTGGAGGTGCCTTTTCTATCTCCACATGTTCTGGAGGTCTGTACCTAGTCTAACATTCAGCTTTATGGAATTCTATAGTGATCCCAAAGTCCAGTTATTTTGAATATTTTTATGCTGTTATGCTTGAGTATCTTAGGTGTAGCTTTGAAATGTTTAGAATTCTTCTGTACAATGTTGTGCACTCAGATGTAAAGGGTGTCATTTTATAAAAACTAAATTGGTAAGATGTCCTTCCAGGGAAATCAGTCCTCTCAATGTTACTTTCCCGCTGAGGTGGGATAGGAAATTCCTGATTTGAAAATTCTAAACTGCAAAATGTATTTCCTTATCTTAGTGATGAGTTTACTTTCACATTCTGTGATCACTGACACTAGAACTTACAGGGTTAAATTGTATGTTTGAACTGGAAATCACAAAAATGCCCTAGTAATAGATTTTAATCGATATCATTATCTAGTGACAAACCTTTTAAGTTTCAACTTCCAGTGGCAAATGTCACAGGGAAATTAAGCTGCACTCATGTATTATATAATCTGTGTAAGAGGTGGCCTTGTGCATTTTGAGTTTGCAAGGTACTGGAGACCTACTGTACAGTAGCTTCACCCCTTTAATTGGGGTAATCTCATAGTATTTATCCAACCAAATCCCAAACTCAGATACTTGCTCTAAAGGGCCTTAGGTAGCTTCCAGTAAGTTATATTAATTGTATTAAAGTTAACAAGTGTTATAATGATGCTAAATAAAGGCTTTAGAATATTAAAAAAAAAAAAGTGTGTCAGAACAGAGTTGCTGCCTAGCTGATACTGTGTTGATTATTTGAACATGTACGGAAACAGTACAAAGTTTTATGCTTGCAGGAAGTTTATTGATACAGTTCACATGGTGACAGACTCCACCTCGAATGCTGACTCAGCATCACTTCAGCATCTGTTAAAGAGACATTGAACTGTTTAACTATTATGAAACAGTGAAACTGATCTACAGTCCTACTGTAAGCTCTCTGCTAAACAAAAATGCCCCAGCAGTTCCTGCTGAGGCCTGGCCTCTTCACATTACAAGGTTGTCATGGTTAATTGAAATGCCACCTCCTCCCAGCCCCCAAAACCACAATGGCTTAGCTCTGCTAAGAATGCATAGCTTTCCTTAGCTACGTGCCTGGCAGCACTTTACACACAGTGCTGGTCTCCCCCACTCATGCCCATGTTTTATTCACCCCGCTGTCCACACTGAAGGGAGAGGCTTGACATTAATTGAGTGATTCAAGTTGCCAGAGCTGTTAGTTCAGCTTCTTTCTGTTTAACCTTTTGACCTCTTACATGGACATACAGTTAGTATCTCATCTCTGTTCCTGTTGAGGAAAGGTGTATTCTCTTTTTAGAATCTACTACATCCTCAAAGCAACTCTGTATTAGAAGCCAGGGGCATAATGTTAAGTACACCCCATTAGTGTCAGTGTTAACTATCCCAGCCTCGAAGTGCTGAAGGTTTAGCTGTGTTAGAGCCCACATGTCAAGGTAGGAAGGGTTACCTACTCTTTTAAGGTTCTGCTCTGCGGACATGGGCAGTAGTCACAGTAATTTCACCAGCAATACCATAACTTCCAAAGGGAGTACGTTTGTCACCAGATCCTGAACTCTTTTTAGCTACATCTTCTACTGGGAAAGCAACGGAAAGAAAGACAGGGCTTTGCGGTCTGGGGCCATCTTGTCCACTTGTAGGAGGACTAGCATTCTGGGGATTTGGGGCAGGCCTCTGGAATGTCTGCTCTGCAGGAACAGCAATGGGCACTTGTACTGTAGCATATCTCTTCAAGGCATCTGACTGTGACACAACAGCATGTCCAGAAAGAGGTTTCCAATCCTGTGCTTCCTGAACATTTGAGCCTACTAAAATAAAAGGTGGGGCATTGGTCTTCTTGCTGTCATCCATCATCACATAGGTTGGAGAAGTGACTTTCGGTGGATTCTGCAGAAACTGTGGATCCTTAGGATTAGGTAAATAGAGGGTTGCTTGGGGAAAAGGCCCAAGTGCAGGTGGCGGTGATGGGCGACTTTGTTGATTCATATCAGTTAGACAATAAAGTGTCCACATATTAGAATATGGTGGTGGTTGTCCTGCTTCGCTTGTTGCTAGTGCTATAAAAAAAAAAAATTGCAGGCATTAAAGGTTTGGTCTCTGTATCAAGCACTATGCACAGTCATGTCTTTTAAATCTTTTTTTTTTTTTTACATATAAATAAGCAACTGTAATAGTATGTGCCATAAAGCATGCTATAGAGAGAGCTACAGAAATTGTGCCTGGTAATGTGAAGGAACAGAGTGATTCAGAACAGTTGGAAAAGGAATTGATAGTAATGGCAGGGACAGTAGAGTTGCCGGCTAAAGAAGCAATTGCATTCTAAGTTGCTGTTTCCAGACTCTTACACTGTTTTGGTTCTGAGACAAGGTATTACTATGAGCACAGGCTGGCCTTGAACTCTTAGTGGCCCTCCTGACACAACCCCCCAAGAGCTGGAATTACCACCATGCCTAACCAGAATCTTAGACTTTATATATGGCTTTCACATGGTACTCAGAGGAAAGGTAACAAAACTTTCAAAACATCAACCATGTGAAACCAATTAAAATCATATAAGACACGCACAGCAGTGTCTCCCTAAAGTCACCTACGTGTCACCTAACAATACCCCTATCTTCAATCTATTACCTCATCTAGGAGTCAGAATCCCAGAGAGCACTCCTTTTAGTAAGACTGGGCAGCATCATATGCCTCAGAAGACAGCCAAAAGCTGGTGGACACTAATATGGAGATCTAGAAAAGTCATCCATCGGCCTAGAGCAAGGGGATCTATAGAGCAGAGTGTGGCTTGCCAAAGATAGGGACTCAAATGTGTCAGGGTCATGTTTTGAACCTTAGGCCATCCATTCCTGGTGCAGCCTTTCCTCACAGAGGATTACACTATGCACTGATTAAGGGTTACTTACTAAAGACACAATCTAAGTCCTCAGTCTTTCCAGATGGGAGAGTCCCTCAAAGTGAGTTTTTTCGGGAACTTGTCCACTAAGGACAGCTTGCTGCCCTTCAATAACAGCTAAGTGCCTGAAAACAGTGACTTGGCTTGAAGTGACTGATGCTCAAGCCACAAGATAATGCCGGCCGCACAGGCTCTCTGTGTAGCCCTGCCCTCTGCCTTTCCAGCTGCAGTGAACCTGTCACACTGCCAGTCAGAATTTCATTGCTAAATACCTGCTTTGGTAATATTTCTGTATAATTCTGGCTTGAGTCAGAGTTGAGAGTTTCTGCAAGAGGATTGGGAGGCTTCTTTCCTGCATGGCCCTTCAGGTACCCCAGGAAGGGCCACTGCAATACCCAGATAGGCACAAGGGTGGGCAGACCAAATGCCACAATTAGATGGAGATGGAGGCTAAAATGCTTCTGCTGGGAGGAAAAGCAGCTGGAAGGAAAGCTCCCCAAAGAGCACGCAGCTTGACTTTGGTGTACAGGGATCAACCAAAAGGTCCAGGCATGTCAACTGCACACACTGGCTTCAAGTGTGCAGCCACTCTTCCTGCTGCTTTCCTATCACAGAAGTTCCATCTAACCTTTCCTTTCTCCATCCAGCTATGACACTGCTCCCTTGGCCACAGAAAGCCCCAAGTAGGAAGCAGTGTCTGAGCCAGCATCCCAAGCCTGATTGCAAAATTCTCCTGACTCGGCGCGAAAGCAGTCAGCCACACCACCATTTCTTTCACGTTTTAAATGCCACAGCCCAAATAAAGGCAGTGTTGGTGTTATGTTCCCTCATGGCCGCTTTGTAAACAGGCATTAAAAGCCTAACAGGTTCTTATGCTTGCAAACGTGCAACATGAATCAAGCTCTAACAGTGACATCTGATTTTCATATTAGTAAATATTAGTAAGTACCCACAAAGCCTTTAAGTAGGTTTGGCATTTAAAAACCCTGAAAATGGACTTGGGCCAGTCGGCAGGAGAGCCAACCTGTATGGTTACTGAATACAGATGTTACCTGAAGCGTAGTATGTGAATGTGCAAGTATCTAATTTTCTTACCTGGCTTCATCAAACCTGTTCAGGTGCATCTTCCCCATCGGGTTGGATTTCAGGTTCAGTAAAGCCTCCTGGCGCAGGAGGGAAAGGGTCACCAGATGAACAGGGTGCAGAGGTCTCCCCTGACTCCTCCTGGCCAGGATTGTCAGGGTTTATGGTAACGATCTCCATTTCAAGGTGCAGAGAATTCTCAGAGGCTATTTTGATAAAGCGCTCTGCATCCAGGGGCTCTGCAGGCACCTCAGGTTGACCCTCTAGAGCAGGGTTAGAGAGCAGAACTGTAGCTTCTGCCTCCATATGTACTGAGGGCTTGTGTTGGGAATTCTCCACCTGTACAAATTTCAGAGACTCTATAGATATTTTAGACATGCCTGAGGAAGTCTTGTTTTCTACAGGTTTGGAACTAACTGGTGGTGACTGCTCAGTAAACGGGATAACTATGTATCCTGGTATCTGCTCAACATAGACAACTCCTTCATTGACAGGCACATCGTTATATACAGATGACACATGAAAGGCTGATGTAACCTGAGTGTCAGGAGCTTCGTCAAAAGCAGGAGGTTCTTGTTCACCCTGCAAGGGGGCTGAGGAAGCCTTTGATGGTTCAGCCTTAAACTTAGGACCCACAACTGCCTGCACAGATGTTTGGCTCATAACCTGCACTGCTAACATCTCTCCAGAGCACACCAGAGGAGCAGACACCACGACTTCTTCATCAATCTCTGCACTCAGGGAGTCCTGGGTACTTGTTGCCACATCCACCATTAAAACTTCAGAATAGGTAGATGGAACATTACCTAACATCTGAGCAGCAAACTGAGCTGGGTCAGCCGGGACATAGGCATACTCTGCAGAGACAGGTGCTGGAGGTGGTGAGGAGGGTGGGGTGGTAGTCTTAGGTGTGGTTGGTTTGGAAGAAGGGCCCCAGGCTCCTTCGTTTGTCTCCTCGGGCTGAACTTCAGCGTGAACTGATGGAAACTGGGTGGTTTTGTTGCTAAATAGTGGTCCAGCTACATTGTCCTCCTCCGTGTCTGTGGATTTTTCCATCCGTGTAGGTTCGCAGGGAACTGGAAGTGTTCTTCCCGGTTCCTTTGCACACTCTTTCTTCTCCACTGTCACTCCTTCGGCCCATTTCTCTACTAAAAGTAACAGCCAGGAGCATTAATCAGCAAGCATTCCTCCGAATGTTTTAAATAAAGCAACAGTAGGTTGAACTTTCAAATACCAATATACATAGCTCTCTGTGCAATATCTTTGAATTATCATAGCTAATGAATCTGCAACAGCTCACATCCACCTACACAACTCACTCCCTTAGAAATAAGTGGTCGGCATATATTACAGTGCTAAACTAGGGTCACACCACTCTAAGCTGATATTCAGTTCCCAGGAGGAAGGAAGCTGGAGTCCTCCTGGCCCACTGTGACCCAGCAGATAAAGTACTTATTTTGACCTGACCAAGTGAGAACTGGGCACAATGATTGGAGTGTCACCTGAAATCCCAGCCCTGGGGAAGCAGCAATCCCGAGAGTGACTTAGCTAACAGGAGTTGGCAAGCTCTGGCTTCAGTGAGTGACTCTGCCTCTATATAGTGGTGTGTGACCAGTGTTGGTTTTGGGCCACCACATGTGCCCATGTCCACACATGCAAACATGCACACTCAAATCCACAAAACTTGAACAAAGGGAAAACTGAAGACTGATGAAGCAAATGATTCCCACTTCAGCTGGTGTGGTAACTTAGAAAGGAAACACAGATGCATTTCTCCATTTCAGTCCATTCCAGTGCACCAGGTTTAACACTGAATTGTCATCTGAACACTGTGGTTTTTCACATCGAGAAACATTCTAACTTGAAAATGATATTTGCTGGTGAGATGTGATCATGAAGCCAATGCTATGAGAGAGATAGATAGATAGATAGATAGAGAGAGAGAGAGAGAGAGAGAGAGAGAGAGAGAGAGAGAGAGAGAGAGAGAGAGAGAGAGAGGAGAAGAGAGAAGAGAAATGCCTATGTCCATGAGTGCAGCCATTGAATCCTTAAGCCCCCAAAACCTCAAGGGTAGCTGGTGACTGAGTGCCCTGGACAAGCCATTCTGAGGGTCAGCAGCCACACCTGCCTAACTGACTTGACTTTCTGCTTTAGTTTTCACACCTGCTTACTGAGGAGTTTTTTCTTCAGGATGCACAGTCAGCAGGGAAAGTGAGAAGTGATTGATTCAGACCAAGGGTTTGGAAATCCAGACACAGTGGCATAGGCCTGTAATCTCAGCACTTAGGAGGCTGAGTGCCATGAGTTCAAAGTCAAGCTATACCTACAGAGCCTTCAGACCCTATTCTCAAAACCGTAAGTATTTTCCTATCCTCTCTGTCCTCTCTGGCTGCTAGTTTGTACACTCAGTTCATAGGCCTAATTCCTGACACACATGGCCACACTAAATGCAGAGTAAAGCCACAAAAAGAAAAGCTACTCAACATTAATCTCGCTTTTCTAGCCCTGTCTTCATGATTCCCCTGCCCCAGTCCTCCCTGTCTTCAATGCTAGGGATTCAATCTCTGACTTTGCATCCGCTAAAGAAGTGCTCTACCACCTTGCTATAATATGGCCCTTTAACATTGTCTTTTCCTACCAACACACCTGACAGAGTGATTCTCTTACATGGAAGACTGTGGTAGATGACAGTACATAAAAACACTCCACTAGGAGATAATTTAAGCATATTGTAGGTATAAAAACATAAGAACCTAATAATGGTATTTTAAAAAAAGGGCTCAAGAGATGGCTCGGCAGCTAAGAGCACTTACTACTCTTCAGCAACCCAAGTTCTGTTCCCAGCACCCGGACTCCAAACTGCCTATAACTCTAGCTCTGGTGAATCCAACACCTTTGGGCACCTGCACTCATGCATGCACTCATACACATGGGCGTGCACACACACACAGAGAGATGCACACGCACACGTGCACACACACAATTTTAAATGACTGCATTTTTTAAAAGAAAATCTTTGGGGTTCACAAATACTAAGGTTTATTTGAGTAAGCCTGACTTAGTAGTTACTCTTGTGCTTCGGATACAGAGAAAAACAAAGCAATGCCACTCCCATCTTGACAAGATCAATCATAAAAGCATAACTTTGCTTGAGTCCAGACAGTCGAGGTCATAATGAAGTTATCTGATTCCCATAAAGAACAGTCTCCTTCCACCCCAGATGTACACCAAAGCTGACTTAGCCATGGCAGCGTGAAGGCAGGTTTTAAATGAGTTCACCAGACAGACTCAACATAAAAGATAAATAGGTGCTTTATTTGGGAGCAACTTACACAGATAATAGTAAGTAACTGTCACGGCCTTCCTGCTCCAGAAGATGCAGTCTCTGCCCTTCCGATGTTCTCAGCAACCTAAGAGAGAGTGAGCTCACTGCTCCTCTCTTTAAAGGAGTCTTGCCCCACCTGAAACCATACCCAAAAGGGTATGGCAACTACTACAAGTTCACTGGCAAAGAGAGATGCAACTACAGCAGGGTCCGAAATAAAATTCCCTGGTGAGGGACAGCTACCAAATGTGGCCTAGGATGTCATTCCTGTACCTCTAACTAAGCTCAGGAGTTTGTAATGACTGACAAGTGTTTTTCTGCAGGCCTCAAAGTAATGGTGGAGAGGGGATAGAGCCTATCTTAATACCAAACAATGGTCACTTTGCCCAAGACACATGTGATGGCCATGGATAGAGCCAGAGCCATCGAAAGACACTAAACTCTTGACAAACGAGAAGGCGAGACTGGTGATATTTGGCTCTCATGTCCAGCTCTCTTCTTCCATTATCCAACTGTGCATGGCAAAATGATCAAGCACTTCTGGTTCTCAACACCTACCACAAATGGTTTTCTTTCTAGGGAAAATTCCAGCAAATGACACATGCAGAGCATGTTCCTATCTCCATGCTCTCTGTGCACACTGAGAACACAGTAATGCTGTTGGGTGGGCAAACTAAGCACAGGACATAACTGGGGACCAGAGCATCTTCACTGACCATCAGTCTTCACCAAACTTCACCAAACACATGCTCACATCTGATAGGAGTGAGGTAAATGAACTAGGGCATAGCTGCTAGCTGTTGCACACATACCAATTTCGAATGCCTGGTGCTGGCTTTAGGTTGATCTTGCCTCACACCGAAGAGGCTGAAGGAACAGGGGAAGGGTCAGGTGACTTAGTCTTCCTAGAATGGTTCCTTTTCACAAGTCACTGAAAGCCTCCCATCTTTGGGATCAACCAGCAATGTATGTAGAGTTATATGTGCCACCTCTACTTTTAAACCTAGGATTCCAACAAGGCAAGATGTACTTGGGTGAAAGACAACATGCCAGCTGTTAAACCTATTATTTTTCTTGTAGAAAACTGAACAACCACATGGTTGAATGCACTTAAAGTTGTCAAGAATAGCAGGAAATCTAACCAGTCAGAACCCAGGGAGCTGTCATTCAGGAGAGAAAATAAAGTGCTTCCTAGGAGCCTCATGGTGTCTGCCTATCCCCTTCTTCAGCCCAAAGTATTTAAACTTTTTTAGATGTAGATAAATTCATGGAGTATGTGTTGGGGACCTAGAGGGATTGATGCAGTCTGTCTATTAAGAAGCCATTTGCAGTGACAACATAGGGGAAGAAAAATGAGCCAAGGCGCTATCAGACAGCTATGTTGTAGCATACTTTGATCATGTCTCGTGATCTCTTCAGTAAGCATAATGAGCAAGGGTACCACTGTTTTCCTTCCTAAAGGGCAATCTGTTTTATATGTGAGCTGTCTTGCAGGCATCTGTATGCTATACCTATCTGTTGATATCGGTAATTGTAGTGAGATAGTTTTGTGGCACTGACCACGCCCATTGGAGGTGGAGCCATGGGCGGAGTGACCTCTGGAAGGAGGTCGGAGGGGGCCAGGAAAGGCGCTCTCTTTCTGGCATGACTCGGTCAGGAGAGGATCGGGTTGAATTTCCTGGTGTTCATCTGTCTAGGTTGTAAGTTATTTCTCCCTGAATAAACATCTACTCGGCCTATTTGTTTATCCTGATCCTTATTTAACCGCGTTAGGTAGTTATTTGAAGAGATAAAACAACCATATCTCCTTTAAGTCCATCAAAAGTATGGCTGGCCTACAAATTTTGTTACTCTGTTAGTCCAAATTAATTTAAAAATTTGAGATGCAAAAACATTAACATCCAATATTATTAACCATAATCCATATTTTGAGCCTACCTGCTAAAATGAATGTTGGATAAAATCTTCAATGAATTAAAAAAAAAAACTCTCAAAATGCTATCAAGTAGTTAATTATCTTCCACCATAAAAACTCAGTCTTTCCATTATAAAACAGGGTGATCCTGCAGGAACACAGTATTTTCTAATGCTCTTTTTTTGAAGACAGAAACACAATAAACTTGATTGAGAAAGTAGGATCATGGATATAGGAAGCAATTTCTTGTACTTGGTTTGTATATGTGGCTAGGAGTATATAAGCAAGTCCCACAGTTTCTCATGTTTAGCTAATAATGTTATCAGTTACTTGCACGAGAGCATCTAGACAGTGCAGTATTTCAAAAGCATTGTCCACCTCATTCTCTGCCCCTTCATATGCCCAGGGTTCCTACTTTAATCTTAATTTCCTGTTTTGAGTATCTTACACTGCAGAGTCAAACCATCATGATACTTGCATTTTCCTAGATTGACTCCCTAATTTTTCATAGCTGTGGTTATCTTTGACTCACAAAAATGACATGGTTTGGACCATTGAGGCAAAGGTACTGCTAAGCCTGATGACCTGAATTTGTCCCTAGGACCTGCATGAGCAAAGAAGAAAACTGACTCTCAGAAGTTGCCCTCTGACCTAGACATGTGCACCGCAGCATGCACACTACACACACACACACACACACACACACACACACACACACACACACACACAAACACACACACACAAAAGGAACTTCGGGTTTAAAAGTGATGGAGGTGCTGAAGAGAGGGCTCCGTGATCAAGAGAGTTCATTGTTCTTGCAGAGGAACCCAGCATCTCATGCCTCACAATAGCCTATAATTCCAGTTCCAGGGGATCCAGCACCCTCTTCTGGCTTCTGCAGAAGGTGGCATGTGTATGTATGTGCATCATTACATATGTGCAGAAAAACTCACCCACATAAATCTTTAAGAAAAAAAAAAAAACTCTTTTTCTTTAAGTGACAGTTTTAAGGGTGGCTGATAACTAACTACTCTCCAATCATCCAAAAGCTGTTAGTCAGCCAATATGGAAACTATTCAGCTGCTTCCCACAGTGGCCAGATATCATTTTACCTCTTCATAAAGTTCTGTGAGAAGCTTTTCCTCTGCATTCTTTAACAGATTCTACCTTTTAAACTTATAATAATCTAAATGTATAAATTCTGTCTTATTTTAGCACTCTTGTTGCTACTCTGTCACATTCAATTTACAAATGAAAAAGCATTCTGTAAGTATATCTATGCTATATGTCACAATGTCTGAGATACGGAGGAAACTACTGTTCCATGAAAAGGATCTACTCAGATACTCTTTTCAGCACACTGTATGGCAAAGTCAGCTAATCTCTTGTAGACAGACTTACAGGGAAGAGTGGGTATGTCTTATTTTCTTTTGAACAGAAAAATTTCCTAACTTTCATGCTTAAGTCTACATTGAAATACCTCTCTTAAACCCCCTGTTCTACTTCATTAAGAAGTATATACATCTTCAGCATTCCTTGTCGGAAATGCCTAAAAACTGATAGATCCGATTTTGAGGGCTTTAAAATTATTTAGCCTATTAGAAGAGAATCTAAAAACCAGAAATGTGAAATGCTCTATGTCAGAGATGTTGAGCACTGTATTCATTTCCATTTCGGAGCATTATAAATAACTGATGTAGCCTCACTGCAATTTACTATGGAATACAAGTTCTCTTGCACCCTACTGTCTTTCCCTAAAGGTGTGCCCAGCACTGCTTTTGACATTCATGGATAGTCATTGTTCCAAGTGGCATCCTGTAGCTCTAGGATTGACCTAAGGCTTCACTCATGCTTTGTAAGTGCCCTACTACCAACCTGGATTTTCAGTCCTGAATAGTCCCCCCCACCTACCCACCCCCATACACACACACACACACACACACACACACACACACACACACACACACACAATCTTTTTAAGATTTAAAACCTTCTAAACTGGAAATCCTTATGTTAAACCAAAACTGACTTAGTAAAAATACAAAGCACCAGTATGATTACTTACACATAAGACACTGGTGTGGTTAACACAATAACCACTGGCATAATTACAGATGGGGATTATCGAGTATGTAATGAAGACACAGCGGAAATGAGCATCTTGGTGGCACTTACCTTTTGTCTGATGAAACTGTTTAATCAGATCTTTTATATCCAGAGATGAATTCCCTGAACGAATAAAGGCAGAAAGTCAAACAGAGACACTTTTTAATTTAAAATGATTTTGCAAGGCAACAAATGTAGAATCTAAAGCAATACAAACCTTCTCTAAACACAATGAGTTCTTTAAAATAAACTGCTGCAAACTGGGTGATATTTGTTGGGTTGGTTTTGAGAATGGCCCTGCTGACTCCCTCAAGCAGAGTCTTGAGGCCATAGGGTACAACAAGTCTGGGCTTTGAAGAAATCATTTTGGCAGGATGTCTGTAATTTCAACTATAATGAAGAGAAACAAAATCTTACACAGTAAATTTGTCAAATTTTATGATCTAATTTGGGTTCATAAAACCAATATTAGAATTATTAGCTTTACTTTTAAATATTTATTCTAGTAGCATGGGATGCGATTCCTGATAATAATTTACGAAATGACCCACTACTACCTGCTTGCTCACTATCCACACACAAGCCATCTAGCACTCATCAGGGAGTTGGGAAATGGACTGTGGTGATGGCCCATCAAGTACAAGTGCATTCCCACAGACCAGAAGACCCGACCCATAAGGTAGCAGGAGAACAAACTCAAGAGACTGGTCCTTTAACCCCCCACAAGAGGCATGCATACACACACACACACACACACACACACACACACAATCAATAGGAAAAGCCCTGCCAGGATTGCCAGAATACTTTAATACATTTTAGGCCCAAATAAAACACATAAAATCCAATTACTATTTCAATAGACAAACTAAGCACATGTATTTATAAGAAAATGACATTTATTCTAAATCTAGCCCTAGACACATTTTCTACATTGTAGTAGACAAGTTTGCTTTTTTCTCTTTGGCATTAGGACTTGAACCCAGGGCCTTCCATAATAGTAGGCAAAGCACTCTACCACTGTTACTTTTTAATGTTAGGCTTATCTGTGGTTCTTTGTCATACCCATAATATATAGTTCTTTGTTTAATCAAATTATCCCTCACTTTCTTCCTGTTTCCCTACTTTTCTCCTATCTGGCTCAGAATAGGCTTGCCTGGAACTCTCTCTGGAGACTAGGCTGGCCTCAAACTCAAAGATCCACCCGCTACTGCCTCCTGAGTGCTGTGATTAAAGGTTCAGGCCACTGTATCCATCCCCCTGCTGACTTTCAAGTGGCACCCTGAATTTTATATAATCTACTGGGTGGTTCCAACTTCTGTCATTGAGTTATGTTACATACAAACATGTTGGGTTGCACTTACAGCTATCATGAGATACAGGCTGCAAGTTGAACACATCTCATGGGGGTAGAGTTTGTCAGCCCTAAATTGTGTGTGCACTCTGAAACACAAAAGCTTGCAAATAAGTAAAAAATTGAATCTTTAGCAAGGGAAAGATCACACACAGTGCTGCCAGTCTTTTGCTTTGCTAAATATGGGTATTAAATCGGGCCCTGAGATACCAAGGACTCATCAGATAGGAAATAGGTGTTTAAAAGATTCACAGACTTTAAAGTATTTTTAAAACTTGGTTGCTTAGAGGAAATCACAGTTGTTCTAGACGTAGCTACCTTAAGAAAGTGGCATGGTTTAGTTATAGCAATTATATCGAGGGCCAACTTTTAATAAAAATGCAATATGCCACAGCAAAAATGTTTTTATTTAAAAGCACCTTTCACGTTCTTACCAAAGGCTAGGCAAAAATGCATTTTGACCCAAGTTTGAGACTACAATTAAATGTTTAATCCCTTCCTCATCGGGTGCATTACTGAATTAAGCCAACTTTTGGGAGGGAGGGAATGCAGCTTTACCACACCCACACGCTAAATGGCAGTGATCTGCAACACGTAAGCACACACAAACATACATATGTATATATATGTTTTGAGTTTTGTTTTCAAATAAGCGCTTCGGGGGAAGGTTTCAAAGTGGCCAGCAGGCAAAATGGAGCAGGCTCAGTACCCTCTCCTTAGGTAACTAGTGCTACCAGCTGTGCAGCAGCGTGGGATGGCGCTAACCAGAAAGCCAGGGATGCTGACTGCCCCTGAGCACGTTCTTGACTGTGAAAAGGCCCTGGGCACTAGCGATGTGGCACCAGATCTGTCACCAACACAGCTGACGGAGGGTTTCTTTTTAATGGTGATAGCTTAGTTGCTCTTAATTTTTCAAGAACCCTTGCCACGAGCGACCTTTCTAGAAAGGCGCATCCTGTGACACGTCCCGGGTGGGACACGGCGGCTCTTTGTCCGCGGACACTAGCGGGGATTTCGGGGCCATCGAAGGCGCACTCCGCGCCACGCTCGGCAGAGGCCGCGAGACTCCCGCCCGACCACCGTCACCCCTCGGAGAGGCCTCCAGCCGCTCTCGGCCCGCTGCCTTCCCGGGCTCAGCTGGCGCGGGTCCGCCAGGCCAGGCCCACCTTCTCTCCGGCTTCAATAAAGCTTCCTCTTTGCCCCCTCGCCGGCGGCTCCTGTGCGAGGGCCCGCAGCCCGTCCTCTATTTATACCCCTGCCTGCGTCATGTGTGCGTCACAGAGTCCCGCCCCTTGTTGGGCCCACCGGAAGAGGCGGGGATTCGGCCGACGCAGCCAATGAGAAATCGGAGGACAAAGGCGGCGATTGGAATGAGCCAGACAAGGGGGCTTTTGTCTTCTGAGCCCGCTGCCTCGGGAACTGACTTTTCCTAACGCCATGTCTGCCCACTGGACCAGTGGCTGAGGATGCGGGTTAGTTGGCAGAGCTTCCCTAACATTCTCACGAGGCCCTGGACTCAGTCCCCAGCACCTCAGAAGACAGATGCTCGCCTGAAATCCCAGCTCTAGGTCGAGGCAGCAGGACATGATGATTTCCAGACACTCTGTAAAACATGAGACCCTGTCTCAAAGAAACAAAAACAATAAACACTGGTGTATAGGGAAGAGAAATTACATTGGTAGCTGGCTGTCTTGACGTTGCTGCCTCCTCTCCCTGAAACTTCCTTTGTATTAACCTTCTGATGTCTTCAAGTTCTGCCACACAGTACAATGAAGAGGGGATTACTAAGCTCGGCAGGGACTTTTCCTCTTGAGAAGCTTGCCTGTAGAGAGCAGCAGCAAATCCTGATGCTGCTTCTTTCTTCTTAATTAGGATCAGGTCCCATTGCACGCCCAAGCCAACCAGGACAGGGAGGAGCCTCCTGGGGTCTCACCGCAGCGCACTGCATTCCGGTTCTCTCACACATGGTTCAAAGGGGGCTGCATTTGCTCCAAACCAGCTTTCCATCCTCCTACACCCACTGTCCTTTTCTCTTTCTGCACCTCCCAGCACTAGCTTCTGTGGCATTTTCTTGCAGTTTTCCTATATGGACTGGAGTTCCCTGGAAGGCTGTGTTGAGAGTCTCCGATTAGGACTTCAGTGCTGTGGAGAATTGTACTAATCAACGGCCACAGTTATCTTGGGCTACCTTAAGTGCCTTTGCCAGCACTTCGTTACCCTCCTTTGTGTGACTTAACATCCTTTTGGGTGTCTGGTAATACCTTTGTATTAAAGCAGCCCTGGAATTTTCCACCAACACGCATGGTAAGAGTCCCATCAGCATCTCACCCGAAGTGAAATTCTGCCATTGTGCACTAAGCTACTTTCCTGATAACCCACCGGAGCTCCTGGCACACACACTGACTTGTAACTGGGCTCTGTTCTGTGACCATGAACGTAACCTCTCCTGTAGTGGCTTATGTCATTCTGTGTAATCTGAATTAATGTTTCTGGGCATGCTCACCTGTTTGGTTCAGGATAAACTTTCCTCCTGTCTTTGTGTGGAGAGCTGTTTTACTTCCTCCCAAACAAGCAAGACCACACAACGCAATGGCACAAATGTGTCTTCATAAATATAAGACCAAATATGAATGCTTGCCACTATGGTTTGCTTAAGAAAGAAATCAACTACCAAAGTTTACACAGCAAAGAGTGTGTGTGTGTGTGTATGTGTGCGCGCACACACACATGTACATGTGTGTTAAAGCTCAGACAGCATTTACCATTTTAGTTGGCAGAAATAGAAAACATGCAAACTCAGCAATTAATGGGTTTATAAATTCCATGACAATAAATATTCTAATCTTCTCTGACATCTGAAAGTTATAATTCTTTACTCAGAAAACTTACCTACTGTGCATTAAAATAAAAAAGATACTTAACTCCATAAAGATAAAAATCTTAACTACATCATCCAGAAAAATACGCAATACATTGTCATCACTAGACCATGCCTCCAAATCCACCAAATTATTAAAAAAAAATGTATTTAGCATACATAAAATTTCCATTCAGTCATCAAAGGTACAATCTAATATCTAATATAAAAATGTTTGATATTTACACACTGGAAGGTCCACTGGAGAGCCTGTGTCATAGAACAGTTGAAACTGGAAATCTCAATGGCAGAAATATAAACAATTTTAAAGTAATCTATAAATCTATAATTTATTTAATTTGAAAGTATAGGACTTTAACTTTTGAAGATAGAGTAATATCTTGGAAGGCTTTGAACTAAAGAAGAAAAACTACAGCAAGTACCTCAAAAGCTCTGTGGTCCTGACAGAGTCATTTCCACACACTAAAGCAAGGGAATGCATAGTAACATTCACAGTTCTAAAACTTAAGAAATTCTTCCCTCCAGTTACCAGGGTTCCGGTATTTGGGGCCACCAATTTCTCCTTTCTGATCGCCCCCAACACTCCCCTGAGCATCTTGAATGTACTCAGCCACTGAATGCAGGGTTGACATCTTTCACTCCATAAGAGAACAGCAGGATGTTGACATAGATACTTCAGCAACAGTTTAATCAAAAGTGTCTGGCACAGGGCTAAGGAGCAGGTAATGACAGTGTCCGTGAGGAAGGACTTCAATCATAGATACTACTTTCTCAAACAAGATTAAATATTTGGGGGGGGCGTTAAGAGAACCCAGGGCTCTGACACACCAACTTCTCTACCATTAAAGGACACCCCACCCTTCAGTGGCAGATTAAGATACCCATCTTTCCATATCAGGTTGAGTAAAGTAAAATCTGACAACATTCTAGCTGATTTGCTCCTGTTTTGGTATCACAAGCCAGGTATGGTGGTGCACATCTTTAATCTCATCATTCAGGAAACAGAAACAGGCAGATCTTTGTGAGTTTGGGGCCAGCCTCGTCTACTAGTTCCAGGGCAGTCAGGCTACACAGAGAAACCCTGTCTCAAAACAAACAAACAAACAAACATGGCATCACACAAACTTGGGGTTTCAGACATTAGGATACGTAAATGAATTATACTCTAAAATGAAAACCGTGAGTTCAATGAGGACTTACAAACTTAAAGATGACTGAGGCAAATTAGGCAGAGATTTAAGAGTGACCGAGGTATTTATTCACAACCACAGCTGTGCAGTACGGGGCACAGAAAACCCAATCTGTCAGTAAAGCTCAGCAATGAAAAGTTAAAATATAACTGTGAGTTCTTCTTATAATATCCAGTCACCTAAGTTAAGAGGAGAGCTATTCAAACCTGGCAACATACAACCCTGCAGGTAGAGCACTACCAAATATCCTCAGGTGAGATATGTTAACACAATGGTTCTCAGCCTCGTTAAGCTCCGGCCCTTTAGTACAGTTATTTCCTCATGTTGTGATGGCCGCCCCCCCCCCACACTATAAAATGATTTTGTTGCTGTTTCATAACTGTAATCTTGCTACTGTTATGAATCAGAATGTAAATATTGACATGCAGGGTTGTCCGAACCTCCAAAGGGGACACACCTTGAGAACCGCCATGCTACATGGTTTCTAAGAGCTAGTCAGACCATTTTCAGCTAGAGATTTGGTTCTCTGGTAGGATGGCAGCGTTCTCCTGATTGTGAAGGTAAGCTGCCCTCTGCTCCCGTTTTGCTGTCTCCATCTTGAGAACCTGTGCAGACAATGTAGGGATGTGTGTGGGGTGTGTAAGTCTTCTTCAGGCCTTCGTCTAACACTCTCCACCTGATTTCTTTGAGGCAGAGTCTCTCACTGACCCTGGAACTCAGTTTCAGTAAGACTTCCTTGCCAGTGAGGAGCTCAAGGGATCCTCCGGCCTCTGCTCCCCAGGCACTAGGGCTAATCTGTGCTGAGGATGCCTAGCTTTGTTGTTGTTTTATGTGGGTACTGGGACAGGAACTCTGGTCCTGTGTGGCAAGCATTTTATTGATGGAGCTCCTCTCTGCCACAGAGGATGAATATTGTTGATGCAACTTGAGCTGTGGATGGAGCATTTTATTTTTGAAAAGGTATGCATGGAGTTTCAGGTTATTAACATGTTTCATATAAAAACAGTATCCAGTTTATGGTCCTGAGTTCTGCACTCTAGCCAATGCCCCATGAATTACGAGTAACTGACCATAGTAAGCCAGCTGCCATTGTCGTACCTGAGTGTCACTGCATGTAAAACAGGGGTAAGAATCTCCCCCCCACCCCCGCAGAGATCCTGCCTTCCTCTGCCTCCTGTGTGCTGGGACTAAGTGTGTGCTACCAGGCCCAGCCAGGAATGTTTGTGCCACAACTGTCATAGGAATATTTCCAGGGTAAAGTAAAACACTAGAAAACTCTTTAAATTTTATCTAAACACAAAAGATATGCTATGCGTGGTAAAGTTCACACTGAGTCCATTCAATCTATGCTCAATGTAGGTGCTCCTACAAGGTCACAGGGTGAATATTTAGTCTGATTTTATTTTAAAAATAATAAATCACAAAACTAAAATGTTTGAACAAGGTCACTTAACCCTCTCCCAGGTTGGTTAGTTTTATCATTTTCAACATCTTTATTACCCCAGAGCTACATGTTTAAAAGAGGGATCTTTAATATGTCAGCCACACCCGGGAAAGCCATCCCTGGCACAGATGGTCTCCAGAAGAAACGCTGGTCTTCAAAGGGGCTTTCGCCACTGCCTTCAAAGTGCTGGCCCTGGGTGGAGGGGACAGAGTGGTCACTCGGAGTTTCTCACTGAGGGACCAGTTCTCTCAGGGAGGCCAGAGCAGCATGGATGCGGACGTGCAGTCGGTTTTCAAAGTCGTAGCCAGAAAAGTCCTCCTGGGAGGGGCAGATAAAGATGATTGTGGACTGTTAGCTTGTCCCCACGGTGTCACGGGATGATACACACTACATTTTACACCCGTAGAATAATTCCCTACCTCTTACAGGGGACCGCGCCCACTTGCTATTCTTACTCCCTAACACTCAGGCAGTGTTTAAAACTGTTAGAGACTGGTGGCCCAAGCCTGCAATCCTAGCGCTTCAAAGGATGGGTGGCTGGAAAAATTCCCACACGCTGTTCTTGAAATACTAATCTTAAGTTAGACTCAAGCTATTGATAAGACATTCTACAGCCACCCTTAACTCCAATTCCAGACATCGGGCACCTTCTTCTGGGCTTGGAGGGTACCAGCCATGGAAGGTACCAGCCATGTATGTGGTACACGTATATACACTCAGGCAAAATACTTACATACATAAAATAAAAATGTTAAATATTTTAAAAACACTCATACACACACACTCATATATAATAAAAATACCAAATATTTTAAAAA